ACTGAGCCAAGGAGTCTCAAGTTAGTAGAAATATTCCTGCTACAGGAGAGTAAGTGTCTCTTTCATAATTTTGTAGCTATCTTTTTTTGTATATTGGAACTTTTTAAAGTATTTCTGGTTATTCTTTGATTTCTCTTTAAGGGTTGTTCTTACACAAACAAAAAAGACAGTGTTTCCCAGACCAAAGCATCTGCAATGATAATAAATCACTTCCTTCTGAAAAATTCTCAGGCCCTTGGTTCTTTCCTCTCACTGTGCCTCCAGAAGCCATTCGCACTGTGTCAGCCTCTTGCTCTTGTTTGCGCCCTGTTACATCCCAACAGAGGATGGGCCTTGACCCCACCACCATAACGGGGAGCAGCAGAGCTAACGAGTTGGCTCCCTTGCCAGAGCTGGAAATTTCCAATGGCTGATGGGTTTGTAGAACTGATTCTTGTCAATCCATGAAACAGACGTACTTGCCTACTTAAACCACGTGGGTTTTTGCAGTTGCTAAGATCTTTTGACTTTTTTGGGAACTGCAGTCTCAGCAGACTTACAAATATAGCACCTTATCAACAACTTTGTAAATTCTCTGGAGAACTCAGCCCAGGTACAGGTTCCCATACTCATAGCTACTCAGTTGAAAATTAACCTGCAAATCCTGCAAATAACTTTTTTAATTATGGAAAAAGCACTAGAAGCTATATATGGACTTTGGACAGGAGCGTTTGAAAAACTCATTCTTCAGCAGACTACTTAAAACATTGCAAGAAACAGGGATGGGGCAGGGATGTACAAAAATGTGCTTCCAAAGGATCTTTTTGGGGAAAAAAAAATTGTATTTTGCCCATAAAAATTTCCGCTGATTAAGGAAGGAAGGAAGGAAATACTGCAAGAAAATTTCAGTACCAAAATGAAGGAGAATTGGTTGTGTTGAAAGTTCAAGTAGTCTCATATCTTTAATTGATGCAACTGCAGAGGCTCCCTTGCTGTAGCTTGCGTGGAAGCCCTCTTACTGCCAGTGGGCGTGATGGTGATCTCACACCAGGGTAAGTCAGGGGTGGCTGTGGGTGCATTTGTGGCACAAGAACAGTGTGAAAACAGCATGAACTCAGAACGAAATCTGTGCTTGGTCACCGAGTTAAGCATATGAGGAGTTTGTAGTGAGGTACTGTTTGCGTGTTCTCATCCCCCTGTGAGACAGCAGTGAATCACCTTCTTGCAGATGATCCATTACTTCACTGAGCTTGGATTGCACAAGAGACTTGACCTGTGTCAGCATGGCTGGGTATCAGATACAATTTTGTCAGGGCAAGGACTATTAAACTGGAGGGTGAAAGTTAGGCACCAGTGTCTATAGTTGCAGGAAGTAAAATTAGTGAAGGTTCAAACATCCCTAGAAATAAAAAAAGAGCAAGATGAATTGGGAAGGCTCAGCTCTTCTGAGGGACCTGAACATCAGGGTATCTGAAGATTTTGGCTTAGCTCCTTGCAGATGTTGCAGCCCTAGGACATTTTATACTGCCTTGCCATCATAATAAAACATAACCCCCGGATACCCTTGCTTTATTTACTGTTGCAGAGAGGGAGTTCCACAAAGTCTTTGAGCTCAATTGACCTTATTTTTCGGCTTGACAGGTATTTAGAGAAGACAATCCGCTCAGCCGTGGAGCAGCATCTCTTTGATGTTCATGGCTCAGGCGGCCAGAGTTCAGAGGACTCTGAATCGGGAACATCTTCAGCCTCTTCTAATGTGTCTGCCAGGCAGAGGAGGCGACACCACAAAGAGCAGGAGGAAGCCCGGAGAAACAGAGACATGTACGAGCCTGATTTCTTTGTTTTGGAAAGTATATTTGATTAAGTGTACCCTAGTCGTGTCCTCTTATCAAGGCAATGCTTAGTTCTGTTATGAAATGCAGTGGCCCTTGCCCTGAGTTGAAAGTGCAGAGCAGACTGCAGTGCCTGTGCAGAGCTCCATTGCATCAGTTAGAGCTGGGAAAGGTAGAGTTTATTAGAGGTTATGGAGTGCGGCAAAGCATGATAAGAATCCAGGTTTTTTATGCAGTACAGTAGAGGTTTTAATTACAGTATTTGGAATTGTTTAATTACAGTATTTATTGCTTCAGTGGAAATTCCCAAGCAGTTGGCCCTACTGCCTGTAATTTCTTTAGATAAAAACATTGGGGTTAGATGCTTTTCTGAATATATAATGTCTTCAGAAATGAAATCAAGTTCCCCTTTTGTATGTTGAGGCACAGCTTATGTCTCAGTTTATTGAGGAACCCTGGGAGTTTGTCTGAAAGTAGAAAAATCTTAATTTTGATTAATCAGAATTTAAGAATTTTTACCCACCCCGCTACACAAAGTTTAAACATTATTTAGTCTGTCAAAGAGTAAAAATAATACCTATTTTTCCTTTTATACTCCTCTACTTGTGGCATATATTGTGTGGTACAAATGTATTACCACCACAGCCTTAACAAACACTTGCCCAAGGCATAGCTGTCTTTGAGGAACTGTAACTACAGACTTTGCAAGGCCATGATCTAATCAGTGCTTACACAAATGTCTAGCTTTAACACAGCACTAGCTCTTGTAAAGAACGTGTATACCTTACTGTCGTATTGGATTGCTAGGATTTCAAGTCAGATTCCAAAATAAACATCTAGTCTCTTTGTTTTTTCCTGGGTGCTGAATTCCCCAAGTCCTATTGGATCTGCACCTTCCTATACAAAGCCACTGTAATACAGGTGCATAACCATCAGTACCTCATGTTAATACTGCAGTCATGCTATTTCCCAAAATGTGTCATTGCTACTGTTGTTAAAAAAAAAAAAAATCCATAGTTACAAAATAAAAAGCCATTTCCATAGTGGAGGAAAATACGCTGTTAAGATGGACTGGGAAATTAGCACTTGCAAGTCACCAAAGTATCTGGCAGCAGCTCTGAAGTGGTTTTTCTTGTTTAGTAGCCCTGCTGGCAGGCTTCTCAGGTAAGTAGGTCAGAGACTGGCTAGTGTACGTGTTTGGAAGCATACAGTACTGCGGGGCTTTTTTTTAACATTGCGTTACAGAGCTGCCTTTAGACAGGGTTGACACAGTTGTTCAGATTCAGTCCATAAAGCTGGAGCCAAGGATTTAAAGCACATCGGAAGTCTTGAATGCTGGCTAGGGTTCAAATTGTTTTCCCTGGTTCCCTTGGGTCAGATTGCTGGAACTCCTTTGGGTGAATTATCAGAACTGGGAATTCCTTTCAAAACTTCTTTCTGTTGTTGTTTTGATTGTCAGTGACTTCATCTCCTTGCCTTGTGATGGATCACAAGAGGGTTTGTAAAGTCCCAAGTTGGAACTTCAGCTAGGAAGAGTGTTTATTGCAAAAACACATAAGTGAGCTCCCAGGCTTTGCAGGCTACATGATCTACAAGACTATGTATATGTAACTGGTCTGCTCAGAGGTTTGTAAAAACTTCCACAAAGGCAAATGTGTTACCTTAGAACTTCAATCATAGATTTATAATACCTCTTTATCTCTCTCTCCCAACAAAACCTAGAGATTCGTGATCTAGAAAATCACTGAAACTTCCTGGTTTTGTTTTTGATCTGAATGCTTTGTCATGCTGGCACTGTCCAGATACTACAGCGTAATTGGTTTCTTGTCAGGCCAGTGCAAGTCCAGATAACTGCTTTGTGAAAGCAGGCTTTGGAGTCGCACAGCACTGTGTAAGGCAGCTGCGCATACAACAGTTAGCAAACGTTCCAGTTTCAACGCTGAGTGTAGGCAGCCTGCCCTTAGCCTCCGGCAAGGTAGAATAGTGAAGAATGAGATGCATTGTGTTTCTCCTGTTCCATAATGCAGTGACGTGTTCTGTATGCGCATCTTCATTATTCCACAAAATAGAGGGGAGACTACTAAACAGGTTGTGAAGGGAAAACCACATGCTGAAGGACCCAGCAGGCTAATTGTGCAGGGCTAGATAAGTCATACACCAGGCTTCTGGAAAACATGCACAAACCCTGCTAGCCCAGAGAGTCCCAGCTAGTGCATCACATGATGACTTAAAGCTAGCTGTCCCGTTCACTTCCCAACATAGCAGGGCAGTCCTCTGTCCTCACAGTTGCGTTGCCGTTGCAGAGATGCATTCCCTTTTCTGCTTTGTGTAATTCCCAAATAGCAATCAAGCATTTGGCTAAAGCACCACAGTCCGCTCTTGCATTTGAGAATATGACTAAGAAGGCCGATTATACGGTGTCATGCACCGAAGGAGATCCTTGGACCGCAGCTGTGAATCACTTTTCTAAATTAAAAGCACGTGTCTCAAAGGAAAATATGCTGTGTATTCTCTATAAAAATACCACAGCCAGCCAGGAGCGAGCCCAGCTTCCATGTGAAGTCAATGGGATTCTCGGCATTGGCTTTAGTGGGAAGTGAATCAAGTCCCAAATGTTGATCCTCACAGGTTTCTCACCTGAGGTGTATACACCTGGCTTTCACTCCTCAGTGGGATCTAGCATTGCACAGTGTGTGGTGTTTGCTGCAGTAGGAAGAACCAGAGATACTGGTTTCATAGGGCGTAGAAGATGTTGCCGGATCTGCACCAGTCAGCATGATGCGTTTGCCTATTGCTACCATAAATGTAGCGGGAGAGTTTTAAACAACCTCTTCTTGTAACGTCCCTTTTCTTTTTAGGGAAGTCGTCAACAAAGAAAACATTCCCTCTGGATTCAGCAATCTTGAAGGCTGTATTCTAGGTGCTCAAGAAGTAGAAAAATTACAAGACAACAGCTCTGGATATCTTAGTGAAAGGAATAAACCAAAACGGCAGAAATCCAGCACCAAGCTTTCGGAGCTTAATGACAACCAGGACAGTCCTGTGGTAAGCTGGCACACTGTACTATTTGACACCTAGTACTAGGGTGGGAAAAAGTCTTTTTTATTTCAGTGCACATCTGGTTCCCTTGGGTAGCCATTTTTGCCTACAGGACAAGCATAAGTGGCTGTTATGAACAATGGGGAGCACTGGATCCCGCACTCGTAACCTTTGTGATGAGGCAACTGAGAAGTCGTATTTCTGCTATGATCCTCTTACTCCATCCGTAGTCATTTTCTCTTTCCACAACTTTTTGCTTTTTTTCTTCTGAATTCTGCAAAGCATTTTGGAAAAAGAAAAAGGAAGTAAGTCTTTTTCCGAGTCTTTCAGAAGTCTTGTGAGGGGGTTGGAACCTCAGATGTAGGTTCGCATGTTTAGGTCACGTTTATTTTTACAGTCCTGCTAAGTTCTGAAACCATAGATAGCAAGTAACTTCTTGATAATGAGATGGCAAAGATGTTTTATGCCTTTTCCCTAAAGTCTGTGTGTTACAGTGGTGTTTGCAATTTGTAAAACACTTTGGAGTGTGTTGGTCCAAAAGATGATCCTTCTAGTTACCTTTTACTGATATAACATCCTAAAAATCTTCAGTACTGTAGAATTTGCCCAGCATTTTTTTGTGTGACCTTCGTAGTAGAAGAGCAGTGCACTCTCCTTCCCTCTCAACCAAACCAGACCCTGATTATAGTGTCAGCAGTTGAGAAACTACTGTGCTTCAACGTGGGGTCTGCTACAGTGGCAGAAATGCTATGAATCCCGGTGCCTGGCACCCAGCATACATTATAGGGTTACTAGTAACAGGGGAAAGCTGTATGAAAGGACTATCCTTCTGAGTTATTGGGCATTTCCTTCCATTATACTTGATTAAGTTTTAGAGCCTGCTGTGAGTGAGTTCCTTCTTAATGTGGCTTTGTGGTGGGACTCATTTTGTTTAGGTCACAAAATTGCAGTGATCTGATCCTACCCTGTGCAGAGATTCTAGAGAGAGGCAGATTTGGCTTCTCTTTGTGATAAAAAGAAGGCAAGATGCCAAAAATTGTAGGCTGTGCTTATATTTAGTGCTCAATATCTGTAACCTACTCATGTGATACTTCAGGAAGGAGCACAGTGAGATAGAAACACTCTCACTTTGCATCTTTCATTCTAGCAACAGACTTCTAAGATAGTCAAAGGTCAATTGCTTACACTCTTTTCTGTACCTCTTCTCTTTAACTGTGGAGTGTAAGGCAGTTTGAATGTAAATGAGAATTTGACTTAGGATTTGGGAAAGACTGACGGAAGTGTCCACTTTTGCTGTGGACCTAAAAAACCATCCGTGAAGTCTTAAAACGTGTGCAGAAGAAATGTCCTTAAACTCACCTGCATCCACTGGACTTTGCCCTGCCCCTCATTTTTGGTTCTCTTGAGGGACGAAGGCTGAAAGGAACATGAAATGGGCTAACCTTGCACAAAAAGCGCTTTGACCAAGATGACCATCAGCGTGGTTGTTGCTTGCTTTGCTAGAGGAAGTGTCACAGTGGGATTGTCAGTGGGAATATTGTTATGAAACAGCTTGCAGAGAGCACGGTGCTACTCTTTTTGAAGAGCAAAAGCTACTTTTTAAGTTTTCATGAGTGTGCTTATTTCATACTTCCATTTCAGAGACTGCCAGCAGGACGTGTGGTGGTTTAGCTTTCTTTTGGCTATGTCTTTACACTTCAAATAGTAACCCAAATTGGACTTCCTACTTGGAGTATCAAAGGACATAACCTGCACCTTAGCATTTACTAATAGGCCTTCATCATGTAAACAAGTTTGTTATGTTGTATCTTCTTAGCCACCATTTTCTGAGCCTGCCTGCTTTTCAAAGCCTGAAAGCGTATGTAGGACAGTGCGTGGAAGCTTCCCTCTTAGCTGTCTAATTGCATCTGACTCAAAAGCGTAAGTCAGCGGTGGAAAAACTGTCAGTTCCACTTACTCTCCCGAGCAAACCAACCACAAAGCATTAAAAGCTTCTAACTGCGTTTCAGAGACATGGTAACCAAGTACCAGTAGGACTTGAAGAATCACATTAAGCAAGGCTGGAATGACTGAGCTGTGTCACCTTATGGGGCTGGAGGTGTAGCAGGTGAGAGAGGGTTGTGACTGCCCCAAGAAGTCTGTGCACTCAGTTCCAGGGGCCGGGGCAGCAACCACACTCCATTCTACTGAATGACTTCCTCTTATTTAAGAGGGACTTGCCCAAAAAACAGGGTAGAAAACCTCCTGAACATGTGCCCGAAGTGGCAACATGGCTTGTCGTCACAGTACTTTCTCAAGCTCTTAGAGGACAACAGCATTAATGTTCCTAATGGTAGCCAAGACAAATTTCAGAACAAGTTGTCATAACCAGTTGAATTTCTTGCCCTGCATTCATATTAGTCCAACTTAACATTACTTCTGTTCATATGGCTTGTACACACCACAGAATTGCTCTCAAGCTCAGCCTGTCTGTCAGTCTGTAAAATGGGTGCTGGCGGGGTAGCATGCAGCACTATTCTGGTAGACATTTTGAGGTCATCTGGTGAAAGAGCCGAAGCAGTGAGCAGGTGGTCTTTTTGCAGGTTATGGGCGATGAAGTCTGGGGTTTGTTTTGTTATAAGTGTGCTGCAGCAGGCAGTAGTCTGATTGTTGTCTTGTTTCTAGAAGTCCCGTTGGATATTTCTATATTTGATCTTTTAATGGCCTGCAGCTTGAATCTGTTTCTCTTATGTATCTTACTGCTTTAACATTTACTGTATTACAGAGTATGGAAAGCTTTAGCTCATCCAGGCCTATAGACAGAACAGGACCTGATGACATGGAAATTTTATCTGAAGAAAGGTGATTTTTTTTTCTTTTTTTTTTTTTTTTTTAATATATGTATATTTTATTTTCCCTGTGGTTGTAGTACAGCGTAAGAGACCTTCCACCACGGACTATGAGGGTGACATTTAGTTATGCTGCAGAACAGCATTACCCACTGTGTTAGCTTCGAAGTAGAATTGTATGGAGGCACTGCGTATGTTGTATGGGCTCTGCCCAGCAGTGTACACCACCAAGACTCTTCTCCCAACATGTTAGGAATGGCACTGAAGATGCGGATGGGGCAGAGTGTGAAGTACCTGAACCAGCATGCTCCACCCAGGGGACTGCAGGGCCTGTCTCACATGGCCTCTGGGTTGGGAATCCTCCTGAGATGACAATTTCTCTCCACAGTTTGGTTTGTTGGGAGAGTTGTATTGGTTTGGATTAAGGGCATAAGAATTAAATGACATTATATTTTTCACAAATAGCTCCTGAGAGGAAGCAAAAATACATTGTTTAGCAGCCTGAAGTGCTGCAGCCTAGAGTGTCCCTTCATTTACCGAATGAATTAGTTAAGTGTGCAGCAGTAGCAAGGATCTAAAAACCTGTGTATGTGCAGAAGTCCTGCTTGTTTTTGTTACAAGTCAAGTCTGGTTTTCTATTTGTAATATGTTGGTTTCTTTTTTGTTCTTTTTGTAGCAAAGAAAGTGAAAACGATGAGGTTTTTTTCAGGCATTCTCAGGTTGGTATTTTTTGGGGTTTGTGTTTCAGTTTTGTGGTCTCTAAATGGGCTTTTTATTGAGTAGAAACAAGTAGTTAGGCATATAGTTCTGTGAAATTCTGTTCCTCCCAGAGAAATGGAGTTAGCATTTGCTTTTTATTTCCCTTCCCTCTGCTTTTTATTTACATAATTTAGGGAGCCTCTCAACCACTGAGGAGTCTGAAAGCATCTACTTTGGTCCCTTCGATCCCTCCTTGCCAAAAAGGGAAGTGTCACTGAAGTCAGCACTTTGGTTTAGGTGACACCAAATTCCCTTGTTAATCATTGCAGACATGGCGTGTGACTGGTTATCTCCCAGGGTAGTAAGATCAGCTTGTCTGTCTTGATTTCTCTAAAATCATTTGGTCTTTTATTTATGATTTCCCAATGCGGCCTGTTGCCTTTGAACACAGGTGTCTGTGGTCCATTGTCTTAGAAAACTGGGTTATCTCCTGCTTCTCTCTAGGGGTTGGTGGTTGGGATGGATGTCAGGACGGGAGATGTGACGTTGATGGCAGCAGTTTTTTCCCCAGCTTTCCGTTTCTGCTTAACACCCACGTCCTGCATTGGCTAAATGGTGGTTTTCATCTAACTGTTCAGCAAAGCGAAGATTGGGGTTGGGTGAGGTGAACACCTTTGCAGTCACTGGTTCGTTGGGCTTTGCTTGAAACGCCTCTAGACAGCCAAGCATTTAAAATGCTAGGGAGTATTATCTGAGGCACCTCTCCCTCAGTTGTGCACCCATTTTAGAGGAGCACAGTAAAATAGCAGTGGACAATGTCTGTTTTCTCTGGCTGTCTGGAGTTAACTGAAGGCTGGTAGTATTTTTAAAGTAGCCGACTCTTGTGGTTTGGTTTTGTTTAGTTTTGTTTTTAAATAAAAGCCAATATGCATTTATTAACTTTGAAAGACTTCATTCCTGGTAGGTATTATTTCCATCTAGCAGGAAAGGTAAAGAGATTATTTGCTAACAGCTGGGCTCTGACCAGCTGTGTTGTAGCTGGAGAAGTTCATGGGACACTGAAACACATAATCTCTGCAAGGGGTGTTCAGTGATGCCTTTGATCAGTGCTCTGCTACTTTGCTCCCAGAGGGTCCGTAATCCCCAATGATCCTCGTGAGCTGTTGCATTTTCCAGAGCGTGGATTTTGCAACACCTTGTTCCTCACGTACCAGCTTCAATGTGGAGAAGGTGCTGTCACTGCCATGCCACACAATACTTCCATTAAGCTTTTAAACTAGTCTGGGGGAGGTATATTTGAATATGAAATCATAATCTTAAAATAAACTTATCCTTAGGAAGAGCTTTAAAATTTAGAATTTTAACTGCAGGAGAAGACGTAGCCTTAACCTAAAAATTGTATTATATAGGAATTACAAGGTCAAGAAAATGTTACATTCCTGCAGGGATAGTTTTACATTCCTTGTCCCTTATAAGCCTTTTTCTTAGGGCAGCTTAAAGACATACCTTTCATTAACAAACAACTCATTCAGGATGAGGAAGGGACAGGGACTTTCTTGCTCTTTTCTCTTTCTCGCCCTGTCTCCAGTCTGAAGAGATTAGAAAAGGTATTTGGAATTTTCCATAGCTACTGGTTGTGCAGACTCTGTTCTCCATGAGACAGTAAAACCACTTTGAAACACGTCCCAAATGAATTTTCAGTGCTTTTGTAGTCTTCATAATCTGCCCTTGGAAGTAACTCAGCTCAGGGATGTAGACCGTGATTTGAAAAGCGCAGGTTTCTAGTATCCAGATTTTGAGAAGGGAAGGGTGTTTTAAGATTCACATCAACATGGCAACAAGTGTAGAGGGGGATTGGCATGACTCGGGAGTCAGGCAGCAGGGTGGCTGCCTTCTTGCATCAGATTGTCTTGCCAAGAGGTGCTTAAGGATGCTTCCCACTTGTGATTGTAATGGATGATCAGATGCAGGGGAAGCAAGCCTTTTAAATAAAATTGATTTGAATCCATCTGTAATCCAACAGAATACAACCTCCTGATCAGAATTCAAAGATCTTTCTGTTGCCATTTATTTCTAGCTGCTTGAGCTACTCTTTACGCTGAATTTCCTTTGGAGCAGGGTGAATGGAAGCAGCTGACTTATCCCCAAGTTAATTAGATCTGTAGTTACTGGTACCTGCAAAGCATGGCTGCAGAAGCAGCTTCTAAAAAGCAGAACTCAAGTGCTTAATTTGAAGATGATTTTTTTTTTTTTTTTTTTTTGTGGTCATTGATGTAATATCCACAGTGCACTGTGACTGGCAGCTGCTACTGAGATCATCAACCTGCTGCCCCTTTGGCTTGTAAGAAATTGTGGCATATCCGTACCTAAAGCACAGTAGTTCTCCCTTACTTGATTTTTGTCCTGGAGGTTGGCAACTGGTGGCGTCAGGAAATGAAATAGGAAAACAAGTGATGGGAATACTGAATTATCTGCCATCCTGTGGGTTTGGAGCATTAATGCAAAGAAGGTTAAACATCTGCTTTCTTGAGTCTCCTGGGTTTGTACCACCGTTGTTCTGCAGAACGCCTAATGATTTATTCATTGTATTAGAGGCTACATCAGTGAGCAAGGAAGGGAAAGTAGCTGGCTGCAGGCACAGCACGGGCCTGTTTTTAAAGAGCTTCTAAATACTTCCAATAACTGAAGTGACTTTAGAAGGAAGAGACATTGATATGATCTTTCTAATATATCTGTAATGGAACTGTTTACCCATCTGGGAAGTCCTCTTGTATGTGCTACAGATATCTCTTAACAGTCTTAATAAGACAGGAGGTTGTACACTCTTCGTAGGAAGACATTTAACTCTCTAATTAGTATCAGTGGTGGTGACAAGATGGTGTTTTCAGGTTGCTCCCTTTGAAATTGCTAAAATCTAGGTAAGTGCCTCTCTTCACACTTCTCGACGCTATTAAAAATAGCACCCATTTTGAAACTTACTGCTTTATTTCTTTAAAATACTGTGCTGGCAATTTAAATGCAATTTATCAACTGGTACAGTTTGTTCTTTAGTAAATGTAGAAGACTGCCTGTTTCTGGCCGCTGACCAGTCTTTCTGTTTGTAATGTATGCTGACTATTTAGATCCTGGCAAGAAATTTGTTACTGGACCTTAAAGAAATATTTAAGTCCTCCCAACCTGGAAGCAGCTTAAAAGATGTTGAATGGTGAATTAGCATTTTTCCATGCACAGCTCTCACAGTAAACACGTTTGTAAGCAGATGTAGTCGAGCTGTACAAGTTACTAGTGCTTGGCAAACTGTCATCTAGTGTTTCCTTTTGTTAGAATATGATTTATTGAAATGAAAAGGAAATACAGACCTTACACAAATACAATGCAGAACAGTCATTACAAATGCCAGGGTGTTCATCACCCTGGTTTTTAGAACTGTAGGACAGCCCAGGTTGGAAGGGACCTTGAAAGATCACCTGGTCCAACCTTTCATGGGAAAGGGAGCCTAGATGAGATTATCTAGCACCCTGTCCAGTTCCAGGGATTGGTAGGACTGAATCCAGCTAAAATTCATTTATTCATATGATTTCTTTACTGGGCAGGTTTTTTTCCTCTCTGCGTGAAGCTTACTTGTTTTCCTCTGCTCAAAGGGGGAAAAAAAACCCAAACACATCATTAGCTTTATGCAGATGAAAAAAATTAAACGTGCCTAGTGGCATATACTAAGGATATTGATTTAGTGGAGTTTGGCCATGCTTCTGGATTCACAAGTAAAGTACATCCAAATGTACCAGTTGTTTTCTTCAGGACCGTTTTCTTCACACATCAGCACGTGCAGATTGCTAACTAACTAGATTATCAAAATACCTGCGGGGAGAAAATCTGCATGATGACTACCTGCTAGACTGTATGTGAGAGAATTACACCTAAGCTGTTCTTACCAAGATCAAATAGTTTATGTAGTAACGTAGTGTTGTCTATTCAGATAGCTCTGTGTTGGTGCGTTTATACATATCACACTCTATGTTTATGTAGATGCTTTACACTTCCTTTTCCCTGCTGCCCTCTGTGAGGCATTGCAGCTAATTTATTTTAGAGTGACAAAACTGCTCGTGTCATCAAGTACCATTACAGACACGCGCACTCTGTGTCTGGATTGTGGGAATGGCAGTGATTTCTGCATAAATGCACACGACGTGTGGTATGTGCAGGGGTGAATAGTGGTGAGACAAACAGCAGTTGCTTCTAGGTAGTGCTAAATGATGAATCATTTACTTGACAGCATTCTGCCTTTTTTTTTTCCTCCTAAGTCATTGGATACTTGTGTGAATTTTTTGGCTTTTTCCCAGAGTCCACACTGCTTCCAGCCGAGATGCCAAACCCCACTGCCGTTTGGATTTGCGCAACACTGCTTTAATACCCCGAGCTCCTCCATAAATAGTTCTGCTCTCCCCACACCCAGCTAGAAAACAACCACAGGAAATCGGGGAATGTGCAGCCAGCACAGCTTAGCTGGCACTAATTGATCTGAGCCAGCACAGCCTGCATGCGAGCACTCGTGTACGTAGCCTGCACTGCCTTGCTGTCTGCGGCTGCTACCTTAAGGAGCTCCAGTGCCTGCTTTTTTAGAAGACACCATATTGCTACAGCCTTACAACAGCAGCAGTGGTTTTGTTTTTGCTCCAAGGAGTTGCACTCCCGTAGGAAGTGTACGCAGCCCCCCTCTCTCTCTCTCTCTCTCTCTCTCTCTCTCTCTGCTTCTCCCTGCCTTCCTCCCTCCCTTTTCATCCCAATCGATTACTGGAGGCTTTTTCAGCTGCATGCAGTTGTCAGGGCAGGCAGTTTTGGGAACTTGTAGTGGCTTTCTAAAGAAGGAAAAATTCAAGGAAGGCAGATGGACGGATGTTTTTACTGGTGTGAGTGAGCAATTAGTACGTAGGGGGTCACCAAGCAGGGGATTTGGATTTGGAGCTGGAAAAGTCAGGGTCTGTTTGTTTGGATTTTTTTTAGCTAAAGGCATGAGCTTACTGCTGTTGTGGCTGCAGGGATTTTTTTCCTTCCTCTGCTTCCTGAAACATTTTTTTTTCTTTCTCTCTCATTCCTGTGGCTGTATGGGAATATAGCTGACTTCAAGTATGAAGATTCAAGAGCATCCAAGCATTCCTGAAAACAAGTTGCAAAGAAATCAAGATGCTGATGATCAGGAAAACAGCTTTGTGTCGGAAGTGCCTCGGCTGGATTTGACAGCGCTGTGTGATGACAACAACTGGGAAGGTAGGATTGTGCGATGCCTGGTTGTATGAGTGAAACGGGAGAGAGAGAGGGCAACCTGAGTGGGCTGGGTATATCTTTATGTGATCGTGTTCCCTTGCCAAAAACAACAGGAAAGCAATTTTGTCCTGAATATAGAACTGAAAGTTCGGAGAACCTGGAAGCGAAATACTGGATGGGTACCAATTCTAATTGCCACTTAGAGGAAGAAAATGAATTGTTTTATTCTTGAAGTTACTGTCATGTGCTGTTTAGTACTGTTAAGTCCCTGAGTGTTTCAGGAACACTTATTTCTTGGTGGCTGGTCACTCGAATATTAAGCTAGACTGCCCTACACTTCAAAGAAGCTGGGTATTTCAGAGTCTAAAAGGATCTTCCTTCTTTCTCTCTTTTCTTCCACTTCAATCACTATTTGGAAATAATTATTTGGATCTGAAAAGCACAGCTGGAAAAAAGGCTGGCTGGCTGCTACTCTGTCTTTTGATGGCTCTTACAAACAACTTTTATTTTTATGTATGCTGTGAAAAAATTCTGATCACCAAACAGCAGTGTTAAATTGTGTGTGGCTTAAATTATTTTGATACTGTTACTTAGCTCTCATCTCCAGAGTGCATGCTTGGTTGGCTGTTTGCTCTGACTCACTTAAGAGTGGGAAATCTGGGGAGGAACTCTGGGTGCCATGAACCTCAACTTCATTCAAAATTGAGATGAATTTAAGGTGTCCAGCACCTCTGGGATCAAACCCTTTTCCGGTTGCTGAATATGTCTCTGTGTGCAAGCAAGAAGTCTTCTGTTAGTTTGTACTTTAGCAGTAAAAGGGGGGGGTTGACAGGAAAGAAACAGGAAAATGCAAGTATGGTATTTTAATAAAGCAGGAGAGGGAAAATGTGTAACTAATTTATTGCTCTAAAAAGATGATCTTTGAGAAGTTAAGTTCTCTGCTCCTGCGTCCACTGCGTACGTGACCTCGTATATTTTGCCTGTTCCTCTAGGAGGAGAGTAGTTATGACGCTTCAGGCATGAGTAAAGGAAACCCGCAGCCGTGGCTGCCTTTGATTCAGCCGGGCAACTAGTCACCATGGACGGGAGAGAATGTCTCCGCTTGCTTGCTAGGCGGGGATTCCCTGGGTGGTATCACCATGCGTGCAGCACGGCTGATCAAAGCGCCGTGGAGGGGCTCCCAGGAGGCCTCAGCCGCCTCATGTGTTTGCCGAGATGCTAATTAGCGCTGCCCCGCAGAGTCACGAGCCAGGGTGAGCACGTCTGTGTTCTCAGAGGTGATGTGTGGCTTCAGCCATCATGTGGACCTTTGGAAATAATGCCTTTTTTTTTTTTTTTTTTTTTTTTTTCCTGGGTTACTAATGGGAGTCATATGAATGCACGAAAGGGAGAACACAGCTCCTTTATGTCTGCCAGAGGCTTTCCCATTGTATGAAATAAGTTGCACGTTTGGTACAACTCCCTCTTCATAGGCATGCTCTTATGTTTGGATTCCAGCCTTCTTGCCCTGCAAATATGAAACAGCATTATGGGCACGTGTGACTGTGCTCGAAGAGTGCTTCTCTCTGATTCTTCTTTCTTCCATTCTGTTCACATGTATTTCACAAGAGGAGGAGGAGGGCAGTTGCAAAAGCATCAGCTGTCTGGTGTGAGAGAGATGTCATCTAAAATATTTGCCTCCAGAATCACCATTTTGTTGGCGCAGATGAAAGAGCAGCAAAATGGTGCCTTCTGTGTCTCAGCAAGGAAAGACCGAGTCTTTCCTAGCTGTGGATGTGAAATCAAGCTCACAGCAGCCAGGAAGGGGAAGATGTTAACGTCAACTCTCAGACTGCTTCTGCAGCTAACAGCAGAGCCTGCTATTGAGACTGGCTTTGCAAGGCAGGGATGTACCACTCATCCACAGCTCTAGCAGTCAGGGCATCCTCCCTTCCCCTGCCACCCTGTGCCAGTCAAACCTTCACAGGTCTCTTCAGGATCTGTGCCACAGCCCTGGCATCCCCAGGGAAAAGGGAAAGGACTGTGCCTCCAAATGCAGTAACACCGAGTTATTTGTTGCTTTGCTCTAGCAAATTCGGTAGGTCCATCTCTCAAGAAATTACCCATTTCTCCAGAACGTAGTCGAGCTGACTTTTGGAGGCAGGGTCCTCTGTATCATACTGCAGGAGATACAGAGCATCTAGTGACCAGCGCAACTGCTGGGCCTTTCATAAATGGCTTGTGAGAACAATTACAGGTTGGGGGGTTGCCTTCAGCTGTAGCTGTCACTGCCTCCAATCAAATGTTAGGAAAGGGCCTTGAAGAATGGGCACAAGATTATGCAAGACAACCTTGTCCATTGACTAGTTTTTATTTGTCGCTCAGGCGGGCCCTCCATCATGTTAAGACCAGAGCTGCCTTAAAAACCCTCATTCAAGGGGCACAGAACTGTGATAACTGCTGCCAGGTGAGCTGGCAGGGGCCCCTACCTTTTATGTTACGCTAGAAGTAATTTTTACTATGTTTGGGGTTTGTCGTTGGTTTGGGTTTTTTTCTAAGGTTCACCACATAGTCAAATCTGCACAAGAGGAGAGATTTGTTGTACTTCTCCAGGCTGTGTTCCTTTTACCTAAAGCTGAGCAGAGAGAGGACACAGAAATTTGCTTCTCACTTCTTCCAGTGCATAGCCTCACACTGTGCCATGTGCCTGCTTTCTGCACTGGCCTTATAGGGGCATACGTGTAGTAATCGTCAGGCTAGACTGTGCCATGTGCCTGCTTTCTGCACTGGCCTTGCCTGTTACATATAGGGGCATACGTGTAGTAATCGTCAGGCTATTGATGTAGTAGTACACAGGGTGCGAGCAGTGCCCCAGCCAAATCCAAGTGCTGAACACTTAAGCCTAGGTGCGTTTTCCATGGTGCGAGAGAAGTGTTTTACTACGCGTGCGTTTAGCGGATGCCAATAGTTTTAGTCTCAGGCTGGGTGTGAATCAGGCTCTCTCTGTGAACAGGGATGTCTGACCGCTGGGCTTGCCTGCTAAGCCGATCAGTCGGTGCCAGCAGAGAGGGCTTGCGAGCAAGCGTTTTCAGAGCTACTTCCATAGCACAGGGGTTTTAATTGTTGTGGATTACGTTCGAATCGAGTGCTCTGAGCAAGGAGGACAGAGTGTTCTCTCACAGTCCAGCACTATTGTGCAGATTTCTTACCAAATGGTTCTAATTCAAGCCCAGAACTTGCTATCCTGCCCTCAAGGAGAATCTGGAAGTATGTTGCTCTCCGTACCAGCGGCTGGCCCCATCAGCAGCTTGGAGCTGAACAGGCAGTTCAGTAAATCGATACGGTGTGTGTGATTGCTGCCTAGGTCGCCTGATTACTGGCGTTTTAAAAAAAGCTCTGTAGATGAGCTTTCAAGCAGAGTTTGCAGTAACAAGCACTTACGGAACAAACAGCAGACATTTTGCTGCAAACTTTCAAGCTTAAAAAAAAAAGAATAAAAGCAGAAGCTTAAAGCACAGTTTGAGCTCTCAGTGTTGAGAATTCAAATACTGCAGCATTGAGACCCTGAGGGTAAAGCTGATCTACGAATAGTTTTGACGGTGACTTACCTGCCCAGGAAAAAAAACCCCACAGAGTAATGCAAAAAAATCCAAAGAATATAGCAACAGGGAAGCAGGATTTAGATTGATTTTTTGCAACGTTGTGGACTTAGATACATGAGTGTATTTGTGTGTAATGCTCTTTAGGATAAGAAATCAAAAGGTGATGAAACACACTGCATTTTTATTACTATGTGTGGAAAAGAATAACTGCATTGTTTTCTGATTTTATTTTATAGCATCAATACTTTTAAAATGTATTTTTTTCATTGTTTATTGTGGTGTTATAAAAAAAAATACAAAGTTGGCTTGCTAGCTGAAAGATGTATCATCTCACTAACTGAAAAGGTGTGGTAGTGCCTTATTTGGGCCATTCTTTTTGATCTACATAGGAAGAGTACCTCCTGATGTATTCAAACAAGGATGTTTTCATATAAGATGAGTAAAATGGGTTGTGACTGAGCTAGTGAATGTTTGGGGACTTTAAATTGCTTTATTCACTTCACTATGAGAGATCTTTCTGGGGTCTTTCAAATGGGATGTAACTCCAGGACCTCAGGTGTTGTAATTAGTTTAGGCTTTTTAATCCCTCCGGACCTACTTGGGTTTAGAAGCAGCTAAGGTTTGGCCTCCTTTGTCTGTCAGATGGGTGTGTGTAAAAGCAGCGTCAGCAGCATGTACCAGCTGTGTGGCTGCAGAGAGGGAAACGGGAGATGCCCGCGGCATTTTGCTGGCTGCACCTCAGGTGGGATGTGTGTATGGGCACCCCTCTGCTGGCCCTGCAGCCCCCAGTTACCCTGTGGCAAATACGCAGTATAATGATAAAAAAAGTCAGTTTCTGTCAGCAAAACAGCTTGGAGCTCACCAATAATACAACAATTTGATACAATTAATCTTTATTCCTTCTCGCGTGATACAGGTTTATTAATATCTCCAGCCCTCTGTGCAGCAGGTTGGCGGAGAGGTGGTATTGCCAGAGGCGTATGTGTGCCTACAGAGTTCTGCAGAGCAACACCTGGCAGATGGCTGACAGCTTTGTTGAAAGATTAGCTGGTTGTGGGATTTTGAGAGGGAGTGCAGCACTTCTGAAGGACTGCAGGCTCAATACCAGCGTATTTCACTTCTTCTGCGCCAACTTAGAAAAGGCGTACCTAAAAGAAATGCGTTGAGAGTGTGACCAAGGAACAGAAATTTTTTTTACCCTTTCTCTGCACTGGTACAGCCATGATGGTTAAATATTCCCAAGTTGTTTTTTTTTTTTTTATGAAAGGTTGTTATTATGGAAAATGGGGGGAAAAAAAGTACATGGAAAGAATGGGGAGGTGAGTAGAAAACAGAGTTTTCTTTGAGTAAGAGAGATCTGTTCAAGACAGAAGATGAATAAGGGTAACTGCTCTGTCAAGTCAATGGCAAGGAAAAGGTAAAACACTTACATTCTTTACTGAGATTTTCTTCTTCAATTAGCAGAAAGGGGAAAGGGTGACAACATTAATCCTGATAGCAGATACTTCAAACCTGAACCGTTAAGTCCAGGAATTTAGCAGCCTTCAGAAAAAGCTCAACACTTTGATATCTATCTTGGATAAATGAATAACAAAAGATACTATGTATTCTGTTAAATGGGAATTGGTTGATTGTGCACTGTCAGAAAGAGTGACAGCTTGCCCCTAGCGGGTTCCTGTATATTTGTGCAATCCAGCAATTCCAGTGCTTCCAGCTGAAGCGCCTGGCACCCTGGCCAGTATGAGAGAGAAGGCAGTTGGACTACAGCTCTGGTCCATTTTGTGATCTGACGTAGATAAAATCCATAATTCTACAAACCTAAATATGTTCCTTAATTAATTGCTGTTACTTGCCGGGGAAGGCGGGGGGGGACAGGACTGTTAGCCATTTTGTGTCCAGATGATTTTTTTCTTGTAAATACTTACAGTCAGCAAGGGAAGCAAGTTACCCATAGAGTCAGGCCTTCCAGGAGTGAGGGTTAAAAACAACTGATTTTCTGCAGCAGCTACTTCTTCTGTCAAGTCTCAGGTTTTATTTTCCCTTTTAGGCCTTCTTTCCTTCTCCTTTTTAACACTTTCTCCTTTGGAACTGATTTTCTATTTTTGGGCAGTATTTTGAAATCGACAAAATAGAAAGTACACATAGCTCGGTCTCTGCTAGCCTGCATAAAATGCTCTGCTGTCTTTTGGGGCTTGATCAGAGGCTCTTTGAGCCATTGCAGTTCCCTGAATGTCGCATGCTATCTGGTATATAAATCCACCTTGGGACAAAGTCACATGCATCATGCATGATTAATAATGGCTTTGTTAGCTGCTGTGGTAGGAGCTTAAATTTGGTTACTGCTAAATATGCTGCTGATTTCTTCCAAGTTTATTCCATCTATGTAAATCCCATGGAGGTGTGATTTAACAATTTCCAAGAGCAAATTCTGTTGTGGGGTAAGAGCATATTCCAAAAATTGGGAGAGATATGTTTGGAAGAATCATGCACATCACTTACATTTGACTAGCGGGAATGAGGTTACCAAATTTGTTCCTTTTTATGTTACTAGCCTTTATTTCACTACAAGAGATCTTGTGAGGACCTTCCTGAAATCATGAGAGGTTCAGGGAAGTGTGCGACACCAGAGTGTCACAGTTTGGCTGAAGGGCTTGCCCTTCATTTCACCTTCTTTCTTATCAGATTCCTTGAGCAAAATATTTCAGGTATTAGGAACTGCCTTAGAAAACTGTACACCGCTTAGAAAAAACTCTTGTTTAAGAAATTAACTGAGAGAAGTTCAGGCTGCATAAGCTTTCCAATCCATGGCAAAACAGCCTAATACACTTGGGACTTGCACACCTCTTTGAAGTAGCCTCTGCAAGCCAGGCTTGTATGTGCCTTCGCTTCTCATAACACCTGCGAGAGGCTCTTATGCAAAAACCTCCAGCCATCCTTTTCAGAGCAGCGCATCAGTCTGCACGAAGCACCAACCTCTCAGCAGAGGCATTGCCATTTATATTCATGTGCTAAGAAAGAAGGGAAGAGGAGAACGATGCTGTGTACAGGCAAAATACCACTGGGCCTGTCATTACTGAATTGTGGATGATCTTGCGCTGATTTGTACATGGAGGGGGAAATATTAAACAGCATAGAGTTTTAGTAAGAGAATCTTCACGCAATCCTTTCTGAGATAGGAAGATGTTAACCTTGTTCAGCAAAAGGCGATACTGATTTTTATTCAAAAATTGATAAATTCAAAAGCCCCTTCGCTTTGTGGTGCTACGCATGGGAAATAATGAGCCCATAGCTCTCTGACTGGTCTGGGAGCTTTCTATAAGGTTTTTGTTTTGTTACTTGACTCTAGAACTATTTGTTAGATTTATAAGTTCAAAGCCTGGCTCTTAAACTGTCTAATCCTGTGGTGCTAAGTAGGAGCATGCAAATCAGCTTAGTAAACTATCTGAACACAAAACGTTAGACTTCTTATGGCATCTGGAGGGAGTGATCACAAGATTGAGGCGCTTGCTTTCCGTGGGCTGCGCTATGCTAATAAGCAACACTAAGTTGGGTTTCCCTTTCTCCTCCACCATCTCCCTGTAGAACATTGCTTTTATTTCCAGCTGGTTAGATCATCCAGGGGACTAGAGATTTCCTCACTTTTCTACCATGCTGTTAAACAGCAGGATTGCACATGAAAGAGAAAAGGGGGAAACTCAGACCGTATTACCATCAGTGTTAATTGACAGGCTAGGCACCCCGTGGAACAGGTCATAATGTGAGACACCCTTTCCTTGCAGACTGGGAGATCCTGTGCTTCCTCCTAGTCTTTGAATTTCCAACAGCGGGTGGCAGGGTCATATTGGAGTGCTGGAGGCTATGGGAGGACAATTAATATGCTACTCATTTACAGCATTTGTACATCCTGAAACTGAAAAAAAAATCCTCCTGTAATCCAGTTGCCTCCTTTATTACTGCCACATGCTAATAATTCTCTCTTGTCCAGCATAACGTTTTCCTCAGAGGTGCTGGCTGGTGATAGCCTCATTTGGTGTCAGTCTGTGGTAACTACTGGCCAAATTTTGGGTACAGTTTTCTGTTGCACCTAGGAGATTATTTATGTTTGCGTAGAGTGCCCGCTGTGGCCAGGCAATGCTTTGCATTTCTTTGCACACTGGGCAGATGCAAGTAATGACCCAGAGAATGCCTGACGACAAGGAATCGTGGTCTGGGACAAACGGGTCAGGGTTCATTAGAAAAGTTGCCTGGAGTCTGTCGTACATGTAAAACAAAAACGATAAAACCAGCCTTTGTCTTACTGTTCCCAGAGCCCATCCCTGCTCTTTCCTCATGGCAGCGAGACGGCTTAGACTCAGATGAGGCTCGCCTTTCCCCGCAGGCCGGTCGCTTAATTCGACAGCTTCTGGATGAGGACAGCGATCCTATGCTGTCCCCTCGCTTCTATGCCTATGGACAGAGCCAACAGTACCTGGATGATACAGAAGTGCCTCCTTCCCCTCCCAATTCTCATTCCTTCATGAGGTGGGTGGTGATTTGCCTGTGCTGACTCTCACACCCAGCTGTGGAAGGGTTTGCACAGTTGCATCAAGCAACATCTCTTTGGATCACATACCCTGGATAGCTATGCTGTGTTGGGTTTCTGTTCCTGCT